AAATTTAATAATCGTTACTCAAGCATACATTTATTCGATTAAAATATTTGATTTTATAACTTATTTTTGTGTAGTAATTCTTACATTGCTTTTTAATAACATCTTAGGGATTTACTGGATTTGTAGCGATGACATCTACTTGGAACTTACAATTGGAAAGAATAAATTTATAATTAAGTTTCTTTAATGTACATAAAAACTATTCTGAAATTTAACCTTAAACAAATTAAGAATTGAAAAAATATAACAAATTTTATTTTGTTTATGGAAACAAATTAAAATATAGTTTCAGTTTACTCAAGTATTTTCTTTAATGTTTTGGCAAAAACAATGTATTATTAAGTAGATATATATTATTCTTTATTTCTCATTATATTGCCACTTGTAAATTGGAAAAGTAAATATAAACAGATTAAACGTCAATGGTTGATTTTAACTTTGTAAGCGCTAACGTAATCAATATTTATCAAAGTTGACAAATTTTCATAATAATTAAAATAATCTGTATAACTTTCAGATTATTTTCAATTTTAAATTTATTTAATGTAAATGTTATTTAACTTTGATTTGTTTTCTTCTGTTTAATACGCTATTTTCAAAGCTAATTATTACAAATTTTTAATTTACTTTATTAAACATTTTTCAACTTCTAATTATTATCATTTATGCCTATTAATATGGTTATTTTCCACCACATCAAATGATCTATCTTTCTGATATTCACTAATTAATACTTTTAATCCAAAGCCTCTCCAAGTACAAACCGCAATCTTAGAGGAGCTTGCAAATCTGAAGAATCGCTGGTATATAAAATATTAAATTAGTACAGCTAAGATTTGAATAATTACATGTTTAAAGATTAATCTGTCAGCTTTTTAGTAAAATTAATTTAACTTGTATTAACTTTAATTATGAAAATATGCAATCACATATATGCAACTAAAGTAAACTTAAATTAAGACTAAGATTATTAAGTAAATCTTAATCAAATGGTCTCATTTTATACTTAGGCTAACGTCCAAAGTTTAAAATAAAAGTTTAGATGTTAAACAAACTTTAAAATTTTATTTAAATTTAATGTTTTTAGAATAAACAACATATAACATCAAAGAAGAGGATGGGCTGTTATGTGTAGATGTTAAATATTTAATCAATCTTTCTCAGTCATATTATTATTGTAGATTATTTGCCTTTTCAAAAAGTTTAACCTTTTATGTTTGGTTAAAATTTTAGGTATAAACATTCAAATTTTGGCAAATTTTTTTACAATTTTTACATATCTTATCAAATAAATAAGCTTTATTGATTTGTTTCATCCGTCGTATTATTGATTTAAGAAGGAAAAAAAGAAATAATCTTCAAAAATTTGAAGAAATGATAAACGATGTAATTATCCATTCATTTGAATATAGAAATAATGGGAAAATAAACAAAACATATCTATTGTTTGTTGCTATTATTTATATCGTTACTTTGCTCTTGATTACGAGGCTAATAATGTAGCAAATGTTTCCTCTTGTTAATAATATAAATTCTCTTGTTTTCCTAATGAAACATATGTCTAACTTATGACAAAAATAATTATAACATCGCTATTATTGAATAATTAGAGAAATAGGAGGAAGTGTAGAAATGCTACGTTTTCATCATCTTACTTCATTAAGCAGATTTCAACAGCTAAGTAAAAACAATTATTTTTTTTCAGTTAATCGGAATAATTTATTAACTTTTTCGAAGATAAACTTAAAAAGAAGGTTTCGAACAAATTAATTTCTGAATTGCATGTTCATCTAGTCAACCGTTAGATCATTAATTTAATAAAATTTTGACCGCATGATTATAGAAATTATTAAAATAAATTTGATTATTTTCTGTTATTAAATTAAATAGAGGGTAATAGATGATGTATTTGTCAGTTTTAACTCTTAGGAAGAATTGCTTAAGAATATTTTCAAGAAGATGCGGATCATTTTCTATAAACTTATTTATGAAAATTCTAGCAAGTGTATCTGTGGAAATAAAATATTCTGTAAATATATAACGTTTTATAAATTTATTTATAAATAAAGGAAAAATATCTATTTTTTCTTTTCTTTATTTATCTCTCTCTCTAATACCTGTTTCCTACAACTTTTTAATGTAGTATTTTAATTCTAAGTGTATATTTTGTTTACTTTCAGGCGTTACTACAGTATATATATATAGAATTTTATTATAACTAATTATTAAGTAGAAAAAAATAAATATATGTAAAATGTTCGTCGTAAGACTATCGTTAAAAACGGATAATTCTTGAATTTCTTTTCAAATTTATACCACTTGACATTTATAATTAGTCGATTGGATAACTTGAATTAAGTTTTCGTGTGCACTTAAAATATCTAAGCACGAATCCAATTCAAGTGTTTATAATTTTCGTAAGATTGTTCGAATTTGGACAACCTTACAAAAATTATAAACACTTAGATTGGAACTTATATATCATCAACACCGACTTTCCTGAGGATTAATTTTGAATGAGAAAATTGAAATTGGTAATAAAGTTTAATAGAAACTAAACGAAATTCAAAAATTTTACTTATATAAGTTTATAATGCTTATTTAAATTATATAAATTTTATTTCAATCTGAAAATCTTCTTGTAAAGAAATAGACTAAAAAATTATTATTTATTGTGACTATTTCAACAACTTTATCTTCTAATAAATTTAACATATATTCTATCACTAATCAGTCTGCAGACAGATTTCTTTTAATGTCCCATAATATATTTAAAACGGGATTTTTCTTTATATTTCACATTTTATCCGATCAACTTTTAATCTAAGTTGTCATAATTGATTTAGATCTATCATCATATTAAATTACTTTAACTATCAATATTGTCAGGTTACATTCAATTTATAATTTATCTCGAAATTTTTATTAAATAACTAATTCTTACATTGTATAATTTTCTTATTACGTATTTGTTTGGACATAGGAAATGCCTTAGCAACAGTTTATTCAACGAATGAAATGTTAAAAGAAAATGAACATAAATTTGTTTCTCTTCTCGAAAATTGCCAATTTTATTTCTTATGATCATTCGGCGAATATAAAGTTAATTTTTTTATCTAATCTTCCGTGAGAAGCTTTAAATCTCGGATAAAAACCGGCAAAGTGTCATTTCCAGGAGAGAAACGAATTCGAAAAATTATTAATGTCAAGAGCAAATAAAATTAAAATATGGAACGTACACAAAAATATACTTTTTAATTCTTATGATAAAAGTTTTATGATGTTTTTTTAGTTAGCAATAACAAATAAATGATTTAAAATTTATATAAAAAATGTTCTAAATTTTATTTCATTATAAGAAAAAAAAATTAATGTTAGAACAAAAAATATTTTTTTTACTTTACTTNGTTTCTATCTATTAATTTATTTATTAAATAAAATATATTTCGTCTGTTTTATGAGTAAATAAGAAAATTTATCAAAATTTTGAAAAGATGACTACGAAGGAATGTTGAATTATATAACTTATAAAAATAAAACTTGTAAAATTCTACGTGAATTCTAAAATAATTTTAATAATAAGGAATAATAATAAGAAAAACTTAAAATAAGTTGATAAGCAAAAATTGTTTTAACTTTTAAATTTCAATAAAATCAAACAGATTTAAAAAATCAAATAAATACTTGTTAAATTCATTTTAATCTTTATTATCTCGTGAATTCTAAGACGGCTTTTGACTGGATTTTCTACTCTTTTCCGAAATAAATCTGTTCTCTGAATTCGTTTCAATATATATATATATATAATTTCTTTTAAAATTTAAAATATAATATAAAAACAACAATTGTAATAATAACGAATTGCATGTGATGGCATAAATTTTTAAAAGTAAAGAAGATATTTTAATTAATCGGATTAAAGACTAAAGTAATATTATTTATTTTTAATACTTTAAAAACTAAATTATAATTCTTGTAACACACGCCGAATTTCATCAAAAGTTTTAAGAACATTATGAATAAATAATATACTTTTTTATTATTTAAATATGATCAAAAATTCTGATTTTATCCTCTTAATAATTCTTATTTTTTTAAAATATTACAATTATAAATTTTTCTTCGTAGAATAATTTTTAAACAATAATATCTGCTTCTAAAAGTTTATTTGTGAGAGGTGTGGAAATTGCAAATAATTCTAGCAACCTACGTTAAGAGTAACTAAAATTAATTCGATTAATTATCGAGATAAGTAGATGACAAAATATCATCTGCAATAAGCATAGTTTCAAAGAGTAAATTTTGAAATTTAATTCTTCTAATCAAGACGTTAATAATTCAATTAGACATAACAAGATCGCATTGTTATGAAAATATATATATTATTGTAAACAGTAGAATGTTTGTGTCAACCGCCGAAAGGCATTTCATTCAAAATTTCCAAGTAGAAAAGTGATAATCAACATTCTCTTCAACGAATTCAAACGAAATTATTCACATTTCATTCAAAAGAAATTAAAGGTCATTTCATTAAATATACAAAATCAAATATTTATTTATCTATTAATTATAATTATAAAACCTAATTTATTTTTAGAAATATTTTATTGAAGAAAATTAATAATATTACAAATGTTAATTTGCTCCATTCACGGCTACCAATTAAATAAAAATTAACTATGGAATAAGTTCATTGAGATTCAAATATTTTTGATTATTTTTCAAATATATAACGAATTTCTTACATTTATAAAACGTTTTTAGTTTAATTTAATATTAATTTTATAAATTTAAAATTAAAACAATCTTCGAAGTTTATAAATATTTCACTTTGAGATTTCCACTGCAAATAACTTTAATATTTTGAAATTGTGTTGATTTAGACAAAGAAAAAATATTTTTAAAATAAGATTTTTTAAATTTCATTTTTATTTGGTTTTCTAGTAAATTTATTATTTTAATTGAAAATAAATTTATAAAAGAAAAATTTTCTATTCTAGTGCCGTGCTTCGTGGAGCTTCTTAGATTCGAGGTCTTCTCTGTCACTCTTTTAAAGTCTGTATTTAATTAAAATTTTATAATAATTTTCTGTTAATTATACATTATTTTAAATATGATATTAACGTTTCTATTCTTAATTTATTAATAAAGCTATATTCCTAATTATCATCAAAATTATTTCTAAAAGTTTCATTATAAAAAGTGAAAGCGTACAGTACCTCAAATTCGAAGTCATACAGTAATTTATATAATTTAATATTAAAAATAAAAATAATCTAGATCTATATATAAACTATATATAAGGCTATTTTTAGCATAATATTGTAAGAAAAACCATTTTAAAAATTTATTAATATTAATGATTAATAATTAATATCAATTATTTAATTCTTTATATTTACATATTTATTATCATGTAGAGCAGGACTCATTCATTAAAAAATTTTGTTTTTAGTTTATCAAAATATTAATTTAGTAAAATTATGAAATTATTAATAAGATTTTTATGACTTCTAATTTTAAATTTTTTCATATCTTTGTTATTTTATCAGTTATTAACTGATTTACTATTATGCTATGTTTAGCTTAATTTACGTTTCAACTGCTTTAAAATGTACACCTAAATTATCCCTCTGACAAATAGAAAATGCCTCTCAAATATGTGGTACATTATGAACATATAACAGAGAGGAAATGGAATTATTCCGGCTTTACAATAGCTATTATTAGAAATAATTATGATAAAAGCAGATTATACTAAGCTAATCTCAAATAAATACAATATCTAGATTAATAATGTAATCAAAATTGAATGAAATCGTTCTTTGAATATTTTATGCATCTTGTATACGCTGTATAGACTATAGAATAAATAGCGGCCATAGCTTTTTTTTTTTTTTTTTAAATTATGAGAGGTTGAATTAAAATTACATCGAAAGTTACTTTTCCTTATATTAAATTAATTATTATTGAGACGATCATTTCTAAGTAATCTTCGTTAAAGCGTATATTATTTAATAGTTAAGTTCCTAAAACTTTTTTTAATAATATTTTTCTTTATAAATTTCTGAAGTTATTATGTGTTTCCACTATTCGCTGAAGATATCTTAAGTATATAAATTTAAATATTTTCTAAATTTAGCATACATATTTTAAAATTTATTTACATTGAATCAAAGGACATCATCTAAAAATATCAAAGATAGAATGTTAGTTGTTTATAGTTGTTTGTAGTTGTTTATATGAAAGTCTTTCGTATTATTTAGCATTCAAAAACGGTTCACATTTTGTTGAATAAATTGTTGTAAATAAAGGAAAATGTCTTTAAATAAATCAGAAATATTCGTGCATTGAGTTTTATTATTTATCATAGGCAGATGACCAAAGAGTTTGAATTCTCTAGCCGGATTGTCGTAATATTTCAAGATTCCGGTTTGAGTTTTGTTCTCAATTTTTCACATATACTTTTACTCTGTTGCAACTCGAGCCTATCATAGGTATGTGAAACTGAGTCCACCCATACTGTTCATTGAGATCTGATACTTCGCAAAGCAAATTTTTATACTTAAACTGCCAAAGTATAAATTCTAGTACATAAGTCATATTACTATTCAAAAATAGCAATAATCTAAGCCGAAAAAATAAATAGGTTTAAGTGAAAAAGAACTCATATTCAATAGGAATAGAACAGCATCTTATCATAAAGAAATAAAAATTTCGTATTAAGGAACATAATAATTTTGGACAACAAATTAGTACAATAAAAAGACGACAAAAAAGAAATGATAATCAAACGGAACTGTAGGAAAGAGTATTACTTACTATTTAATAAAATATTGATTGCTTTTTAATCGAAAAAATATTATTTATAAGGTAACAAAATGAGTAACGAGAAACAAATGAGTAATAAGTAACAGGTTAATTTGTATTAAGGTAAAATAATTATACAAATTAATTTAAGTTTTTAGCAAATATAGTAATGTTACAGATTTAACTAAAACAATATATAATAACAAATTAATGCCTAGAAAGTATACAATATATTTTTATAATTCACCTAAATCAAAATATATTTGTAGTAAGCTTACAATTTTAAGGTTAAATTCTATAACGTAATTATAACATTTATAAAAGTGTTATATTTTATTGTAAATATTATAGGAAAAATTATTAATTTTTTATGGACTTTTTCAAAATAATGTGTTGAAATAAAAAAAAGCCAAATTTCATAATTCTGCAGTGACAAATATAAACGTAATCGAAATTAAATGTAAGTTATAAATTGTAAACAATAACCGTACAACGATATTTTAATTTTAGAGTATTTTCATGCAATGTAGCCTACTAAAAATCTAATAAAAATATAGTAGAAGAAGATATTACAAAAACATCTAATATCGAAACTATGATAAAAAAAAAAGTTATATATATATGCAGGCTTTTCGTAAATCGCTTGTGTGAGGCTGTTAAAATAGGATATAAAGCACATAGCAACAATTTTCTATTTCTATGTTAAACTAAATTGATAATTTTAAAATAAAAATGTTTTTATTTTAATTAACGAAATTATAATTTAATAAATTGTAAAAATATTTTTTCATTTGTTATTGCAGAGGGTATGATATTATATAATTATATAACCACGTAAATTATCAAATTTTTTTTTNTAAATTTTGAGCAGACAATAAGATTACAAATTAATAATTTTTTTAGTAAAATTATTCATTATTATTATATCATAATTAGTTAATTAATATAAATTTTAATTAGGAGTATGTAAAGATTAAAATAAAATTTATTTTCTTAGCTAAATACATAACTTATTGTTGAATTGGATTAATATAAGAATACGAAGAATGTAGTATCTTTTGTAAATGTGGACAACAAAAAATGAATGCTTTTTGAGCTAACTTATACACAAATATTATTGGCATTATTATTAAATTACATATACCAAATGTTCATAATTAACATTAAAATTAACATATAAATTAGACTTAGCAACATAATAACGCTATTGAATTAATATTAACATTTTCGATTAAGTTTCAAATTAATATTTTGATTATGATTAATTTTTGATTCTTGGTTCGTTTTGATTGATTCCTTCTCAATATATAATTTTCTAAAGCCTTTAGAATATTTTTCTGCTGTTAATCAGGCTTGTCCGGTCGATTTATTTGTAATTTACTAATCGAATAAAAATTATTCTTAATATATAAACATTACTAAAATAAAAATGAGTTATTTTATAAAATAATAAGAATTTGAATGTAATACAAAAATAAAAAGTTAAAGTCAATTTTTCCATAAAGAAATTTGTAAAATGATTTATTTTTCAATTTTAAAATTCAATGAAGATATTTTAAATCAAATACAATATTTTAATAAGAAGAAGCTGAAAAATAACTTTAAAATGCCATTGGTGAATTGTTCCTTTTTTTTTTACAGAGCTTCTAACGTCAATACAGATAACTTTATCATTTTGAAATCTTTATAATTTTTAGGGAACTTTTCTTTATAATTTATTAAATTATTTTTAAATCCATACATTTATTTGGAGTTTATCATAAAGAATGTTTAGTTAATTATTAGTAACTTTAAATAGATTTTTCAATTTGATACTTTTTGTTTATTGTCCTACACAATTCTAGAAAATTAAGTGTTTTATATTTTGTTATTTTCGTGACTTTTTTCTTACTTTAACAAAGAAAAAAAAACAAATCAAAATTAGGGGAGTGTTATGTTTTCTAGAAATTTCAAATCCGGAAAGACATTCTCCAGCTGAACCACAGGATCTACGATCCACAGATTTAAGTTATTAGCGTAATTTTCTAAATAAAAACACATTAAAGAGTTAATACATTTCATTAACCTAAATTTTTAAGATCAGGTTGAATATATTTATATGATTCTAGAATTAATCAATCAGATCAACAGACTATACGCTTCTGGTTATTGCCCAAATTCATCTGTTTTGTTTTTTTTTTGTAAAGTTGTTTTGTATCCCATTTTATCACTTTCAGCTTTTTGCTTAATTTGGGAAATTCGTTAAGAGGATCACGATATAAACGTGTAAGAGGCTTAAAAATACTGCTGAATATCCCTATAAATTAGTTACTTTAGGCAAGAAAATTTTACTGTTTGTCTAATGGCGATCTTATCAACAGTTTCAAAAACAACATTTTAAAACTTTTAAATTATGTTTTTGATAGATATTTCTTTTAAAATTTAAAATATTTAAAACGAACTTTAAAACTTATATTTCATTATTTTATATTAGTGTCTTCTATATTGAAACTTCACAGATTTAGAAGTAAAATTAAACATTTTTCTAAATTGGATTAATTCAGTTAAAATAAATATTCAAAATAAATATAAATTTGAATTTATAATTGTTCTGTATCTTGACATTACTCGTGTATTAGAATGAATGATTTCAATAAACTGCGTTTTATATAGCCATGTTTGTAGAAGCAAAATTAAGCTTTATCTATTTCATAAATTTATTTTATATATTTTTAAATATAAAATATCTAAAAAAATAAATGAAAAGTTTTAGCTTCGTAGAGGAAATGGCTTTATAAAATATTAGAATTAATTATTTTTCAAATTTTAAATTTTGATTATTAAATATTAAATTAAAAATTCTAGGAATATAAAAATAAGCTTCAAGCTAATTTTTTACATTAAGCTTACAGAGCTTATCGTAAATTATGGAAAATAATTTATTCAGAAAGTCATCATTTTAAATAATTTTCAACGCAAAGCTATACATTAGTATACTATAAACAGTAATTTAATCATAGAAGATAATTATATAACTTAAATAAACAATGTAAAAAGGAACAATAGATAGAAAAAGTTATCGCATACTCTGGTGACATATTAGCAACACTAAATAAATAACGAATTTGAGGAAATAATCATCAAATTCTGCATAATTAAAAAATGCACTAAAATTACCTTCATTTCGTGCTACAATTACACAGTAGTAGTGAATATTTTATACAATTTAACTTGACAAATATTCACGCGGGAATATTCAAGAAACATTGAATACTGACAATTCCAATGTTGTGATTTAAACATAAATATAATTGTCATCCTTAATTATTTAATGAGTTCAAAATGACACATCTCTATTTTGTCATTGTCTAAAGTCACGTTAAAAATTAAATAACGTCTCCAATTTGTCATTTTAAAAGCGGTTTAGCAATCTAAGATTTAAATGTAATATCTATTGAAAGTTAACGATACTAATTACACTAATTGCGTACGTATTTGTGTAAATAAAAGTAAATAAATTGATTTTCATTTTCAGAATGTCTAACAGCCAAAAGAGCAAAGGAAGTTGGATGCTGATAGCAGTTTGTTACTGCTTAGTAGTCCAAATATGCGCTCAACAATTTTATCCGAACGGTCGATACGGACGAAGAGATAGTACACCTCCATTGCCAAGTATATTTTAATTAAAATATTTCGATATATTTTTTTTTAATCGACAAACCCTAATATTTAAATAATGCAGGTGGATCACGAGAAATGAGCGTAAGCTTTTTCGGTGACGGAACTGTCAGTTGTGTTTACACAGGATACCAAGAACTGTATAGATGCTCCAGGTAAGAATACTCCCACTCTTCTTTTTTCTTCCCTCTCTCGCTTTAACAATAGATACTATGTCTAATAAACAACTATGGATATATATATACGAAGAACAATGTAAATAGAAAATTTACGATCTTTCGAGAAATTCTTTTAAAGTAGTTTGAAGAAGTCAACCATTTTAATTTCGGCAAGAAAATTAAATTCGGTAATTAATTTTAGAAAGTGGGAGACATTATCTTAAAATTAATTTTTATTGCTAAGTGTTTATACTTTTAAGAAAATGCCTATAACTGTTTCTTTTTGGAGATTATTAGAAGTGATTTCTACATTAAATTTTGAGCAGACAATAAGATTACAAATTAATAATTTTTTTAGTAAAATTATTCATTATTATTATATCATAATTAGTTAATTAATATAAATTTTAATTAGGAGTATGTAAAGATTAAAATAAAATTTATTTTCTTAGCTAAATACATAACTTATTGTTGGATTGGATTAATATAAGAATACGAAGAATGTAATATCTTTTGTAAATGTGGACAACAAAAAATGAATGCTTTTTGAGCTAACTTATACACAAATATTATTGGCATTATTATTAAATTACATATACCAAATGTTCATAATTAACATTAAAATTAACATATAAATTAGACTTAGCAACATAATAACGCTATTGAATTAATATTAACATTTTCGATTAAGTTTCAAATTAATATTTTGATTATGATTAATTTTTGATTCTTGGTTCGTTTTGATTGATTCCTTCTCAATATATAATTTTCTAAAGCCTTTAGAATATTTTTCTGCTGTTAATCAGGCTTGTCCGGTCGATTTATTTGTAATTTACTAATCGAATAAAAATTATTCTTAATATATAAACATTACTAAAATAAAAATGAGTTATTTTATAAAATAATAAGAATTTGAATGTAATACAAAAATAAAAAGTTAAAGTCAATTTTTCCATAAAGAAATTTGTAAAATGATTTATTTTTCAATTTTAAAATTCAATGAAGAGATTGAAATGTTATGCATAATATGAATCAATAAAAATCGATAACTAGAAATAGGTCTATAACAAGATTGGAGACCGATGATAAATACTGTACATGAATTTCAGACAAGATGTTAATGGTTTTCTCGGTCAACAGTAGGTCTAATCTATATTGACAAAACTGATAAAGAAAACTTTTTCAATATACATAGTCGATATTGGAGATTAGCTTTATAATGCGAATTTTCTTTCCTTTATTTTACTTTTGTTAATAAATACATAAATACTAAATTTTAGTTATTTATTCAAATGTATTTGTCATCGACTTATAATCAATGATGATTAATTTTTTAATATCATAAATTCTTAAAATTGCTCACGAACTTTTGAAATTCAAGTTATTAAGCTTACATTTTAAAACATAATTGTAGTATCTTTTTAGTATATTTTAAATAAAAATTAATTTTGCGTGTTTAAATTATAAAATGAAAGTAAAATAAATGTTTTTTAATAATAATTTTCAAAGTTTTATTTGCTAATTTATACATTTAATATATACTTATTGAACTTTTATACATTATAATTTATCAGGTTTACAAATATTTTCATAAAAATATTTCGATGAAATTTTTATAAGATGTATTAAATAATAAAATAAAATTTTTAAAGTTTGAAAATAAGCTATTTATTAGAAGAGATTTTAAGCAAAAATGTACAAAATAATTTTTCAAAGTTCGTTCTTGAAGATAATTCGATTTCTACAAGCTTATAAATAGATAATGGTTTTAGCGTGTATTTACGATAAAGGTTCGTGTATAATTTTGTTATATTTAAAAATATTTCCGTGAAGTGAAGTAAGAAATTAATTAACAGGCTAGATGTTAATTATAACAAAAGTATTTTTCATTTTAAAACTTTGATTTAATCTCTAAAATTATTAATTAAAATAGGTAAATAACTATATCTCTTTAATTCGATAAAATGAATATTACTTTAAAGAGTTTATATACTTTGTTTATTATGAAGTTATTCTTTTATTTTATAATTTTTTGCGTATCCAAGTACGAAAAGTTTCTTATTAAGGTAGTTATTCAATTTAATACAGTTTTCCTCTGACTTAATCCCGAAATAATGATGATAGTTATTTCAGATTAACAATATTTGATGTATGTGCATTACATTTGCTTCTAAATAATTTTATCATATTTTTAAACTAATATAAAATGTAACACAAAGTATAAACTTCAAAATCTTGTTAGAAATATGATATTGGAAATAGAATTTAACAAGGAATCCTTATATAATTATTCATTGTATCCCGTTGTAAATCCTTCTATATAATCTCTCATATTAAATACGAAAACTCATCGCTTGCAGAATGTTTAGCAATTGATTTAATGTCCAAATTTAATTATTAAATTATTTTAAGAATATATATTCTATATTGTTACTTAAATTTACAACACGAAATGTACCGTACTGTATAAAGCGAAATTTAGGTTTAGTTGAACGAAATGAAAGTGTTATACCCCATTTATCTCACTTGAAAATTCAACACAAACTTTTGTTTATTTGAATTTAATAACGTAAACTTTACTTGAATTTGAAAAATAGATATAATCGATAACTTAACTGAATTAGTATATTCTGAGATAGAGAATAACTTGAATTTGATAGAGAATGACAGAAAATCAATACTTGATAATGACGTTTCTTCAATGGTAAACAATTGATCATTGCTTTTTAAATTACAAAAAACATTTACATCGATGATGAAATAGTTATTACATACATTGAATTTATATGCTATATCAAAGATTTTTTTTATTATTTTCTAATTTTAATTTATAACTTATTACAGTATACGTATAATACGGAAGATTGGACCAATCCTGGTCCCGAGCAAAGCCAGACATAAGACATTGTAAAAAATAAGTTTGGCAGCACTGTCATGCTACGTCATGATTCCTGTCTGCCATATATTGTTATGCTCGCGTATTTTCGTCCATTTTTTGTGCAGCTGAAAACTCGTTTTTTTTTAAGATTTTAATCTCTCGGGAAATGTTTATTACAAGTATCATATAAAATTTTCAGATATTTTTTAAAATGTGGAAAATAGTGTGCTTTGTGCTATTTATTTACAATATATTAAATAATAATTTACCGTATCTAAATAATACGGTAACGTCTTTCTCCAAAGCTGATTAAAATTCCAAAATGACGTTTTGGGACTACCGAGGACAACTTTATAGTGTCAAGAATTATCTCGGAGTTCACGTTTTGGTAAATTTACTCGGTTTTTCTTATAATTTTCTACAGTTTTAGATTACCATGATCAGGTTCTGCTTCTGATCGTGGCAATCTAAAATTATAGTAATTTAATATTTGAGATGTTCATTTCCTTTTTTATAAATTGGCGAATCTATTGTACTTCGATTAATAATATGTGTAAATAAATTATATTTCGTTTCTTTCTTTCCTTTGTCTACAAAATTTTGGGCATTTTCTAGGTGTCGTTGCTCCGCATGCTGTCAGCTATTACTTGCTCCATAGGTAATACCTGATATTGTATAGTTGTCTTAAAAAAAAAAAAAAAAAGGTTAGATTGTTAAATGTTCTCTATAGTCAACAGATTGGAGTATCAATTGATATAAAAAGATCTAAATTTTCTCTAACTGATTTCGTGATACAGATGAAAAAATATCTCGTGTCCGAGTTTTCCCAGTCTTCCATATAGATTTATATTATACATATTTTACTTTTCTATGGAATTTGGATAATTAAAACATTTATATAATAAACTTGAATATTTATTTTAAAGCTTACCTAACAATACAAAAAGATTGTTGTCAGTTCCTTCGGGTTATTGACTTAACAAATAACAAGCACACCAAGCCCGAGGTGTAAAAGCTTGAGAAAATGGAGCAATGTTATCTTTCTATTTACGGTTAGTGATCATTATTGACATTATTGAGGTAACAGTGGGAAGGTCGAACAGTAGTAAATTGATTGTAACTATATACTTATTACAAGTTATCTTCCTTAAATATATTATTCAAACCGCATTTCCAAAAAAGAAAATATTGGAATACTTAATTAATCAGTTACAATAGCCAGTTTTGTATTTATTCTGTCAATTAATTTATCTGATTTTTACATCAAATATTCCGAAAAGACTAAAATTTTATTTAAAAAATTGATTTGTAAGAAAACTAATAAGCATCAGATGTGTTCACGTTTAATGATTTATCTAAACTTTAAAATCAAGAAAAGCTAATTCAGATGTAATAATTGCTTAGATATCCTCCTCACTGTATATATTACAGTAAAACCTGCATAAACCGAAATCTCACAGAACCGAATATTTTTTCCGATTTGGTAACTTTGGCAGTTTTTTAACATAGAAAATCAGTTCATTCTCAATAATTTTTCCTGTTTAGGCAGGTTCCAGGTTTATTTGGGTTCCGTTTTGGACAGGTTTTACTGTATTCATAAAACTTTTTACTAAAAATATGAAAATATTTTACTTAATAATTCAAAATATTTTAATCACTTACTTTATATAATGCCATTTTATTATTTTACAATGAAATAGTCGTTCTATTTTTCCATGAAACTTAAAATTTAATTTAGAAAACTAAATACTGTATATCAATAGAATATATTAAGAATTACTATACAGTCAAACCTCGGGTTTCGAACGCCTCGCTTTTAGAACAATTCGGTTTACGAACAAAGTTTTGAATTAATTTTTGTCTTACGATAACTCAGTTATCGAACAAGCTACTCGGCAGAGTCGGCCACCGATGGTCAACTTTCCTATATTTCCTATGTTAATGAAAGTCGACGGCCCGACCAATCAAGGACAGGACTACCGATTCAAAAGTTAGTGGCGCCGAGATTACCAGGTGTCACTTAACGAATCATCGATGGCGTTGCTATTTAAAATACATTTCAATGTGTATGCAGGAAAGATACTATTTCCGTTTTTCGGTACGCGCCACAGTTAAATTT